ACTCTGCCCAGCACTCCCCTGAAAAGTTCACAGAACCACATGCTGAAAAGATTCTGTTACTCAGTAACAGAAGCAGAAAGGGTGAAATTGAAACTATAAAGACAGTGAGCAGGCACGGAGACACAACCAGCAAAGGAGAGCCAAGAGAAGCCATGAACATAAGCATGTTCATGTTCTTTATGGTTCACCAAAGGGAGCTCTGAAATGGAACTATTCGTATTCACCAAAGAAGGAGCAAACCCCAAGGTGTTTTGCTCATCATTGTCCCCCATGCGGCTATTGGAGAACACCAAGCAGCTGCCCAGAGCTGGAATCTCCACTTGGCAATACTGAGCATCTTTAACTCCCTTAGCTCTGGGAGAGCATTAACCAGGGATGTATCTGAGTCCCTACTGTTGCATTTTCCCACTATTTTCTCCCTGTGTGGAAAGACCCGGCACTTTCAGAGCCCCAGGAGAGAGAGCAGAGGGCGGATCATCACGTTTACAGAATGTTGCTTCACTGCACTCCCCGCCTGCAGAGGTGTAGGCTGCTGACTTAGAGTTTCCTCAGAGAAAGAGACCAGAATATAAACTTTCCCAATGTGTTTCATTGGTCTGTCATAAAGAAGGCATGTCCTGGCACTGTGATTTTTTACAACACAAATGTTGCTTTCGAACAGCTGAACTGCAGCAAGGTGCTACCAGCTCTTCCTGTACTCACACAAGACCCAATCCACGGTGTCCTAATCCCATTGCTGATGTGTGCATTTAGCTTCAGGGGAATAAAATAAGGCAATGTGTGATTTCTAGTTAGGTGGAGCAAAAATGGGAAGGCTGTGGGTAGGAAACACGGCTAGCAGCAAGAAACACCAACAGAATAGGTGCCTTGAGAAGTTCTACATTATTCACAATTAAAGTTTGACACTTTTTACTGTCCTGCCACTGGTTAAATTAAGCCTGCAGAATGTTAAATTCAACTACCCATAAAATAATTACATCAATATTAAAACAGACATAATTTTTGTAACACAAAAATGAAAGCCTGTACTTGCATGGTATCTGTAAAAATCAGTGGTCATACAGTACTTAGCTCACTAAGTATAAATATTTACTAAAATGTTCAAAGAAAGATATTCAATCAATCAATTTTCCAATGGAGTTTTAATAGTTGAATTTTAATAACATATTTTAATGAGGTGTTAAATTGTCATGTACTTCAGTCTGCACTGTAGTTTCTTTCTAATCAATGCTGATTAACAAGATACTTGTATATGGCAAACTTGCTCTCATTTTATAATCAGCCTTTCTATTCCCTTCAGAGATTCAACAGTCCAGTTCCTGTAAAAACAATATTAAGACTTCAGAGTCCAAAACAACTTCCCTGAAAAGCATCCCTGAGGTTTGCATAACCGCCCTCTCCTTTCACCTGTTTCTGTTTTCTGATGAATGAAAAGCACTTTAGAATAAGTTAGGGCTATTACTAAAACCCTGTGTTTCTGAGTCTGCATAGTCTCATAGGTGGTGACTGCAGGCTGGGACTCTAGCTATGAAACCACACACTGCTAGAGGGAAAGGAGAGTAAGAAAATGGAAGTATGAATAAGCTCTTCAAACCTTGGCTATCCTGCCTAAAGTAAACTGGGTAAGGCTTCAACCAACCCCAAAGTCCAGGTGTATCATGAAAAATACTGACATAACTCCAGTGGAAACTGTTCCCTCTGCTTCAAGCCAGGAACAAAAATGTGAACAGAGCTTCCTCAGAAAGGTGTCTAGGTGGTAGTACTCACTACTAGCAACAAAAGTTCAATTGCACACAGCTTTTCTAGCTGAAAGTATTCTGAATGGAAACAGGGTCTATAAAGTCCTGTCCATTTGTAGTTTGGGGAGCTGCAATTTCATTAACAGCAGCAAGAACTTAATTTTTTATAGGCCAGTAGAGAGACTAATGGTGGAATGAGTGCACACAGCGAGTTTCAACCTACTCTCCCCCAGGGAACTGCAGCAGGCAGGCCTGGGTTTGAAAATGACATAGACTACATTTGGTGTAACATAGCATGAAGGCAGAATGGGATCTTTTAGAGCTTTTACCTTGCCCAAAGCAATCAAATTCCCACTCTTTCCCTGGAGCTTGACTTTAATAAAAATACCTCACCACATGGAAAAATATACATCCATCCTAACAAAGACTTAGAGCACTATGCTTTTCTTATGCTTCCAGAGGTACAGAAAATCTGTTAAGAGTAGTAAGGCTAATTTGCAAGTCTTTTATTTGTAAAATCATTTAGGCCTAAGTGGAATGTGTGCAAAATGTTGCTTCCAAATAGAGTGGATGAAGAGTTTCATTCCCACAGCACACCATTTACCACAGAAGACCAGTGAATGAATTACACTTCGTTGTCTTCTTACTAACTAAATTACTATAGCTGCCTTTGCTTGGCTGCTACAGCTTTGATGTGACAGCTGTAATGGATTTAGTAAATCATTATTTACTCCATTAGCCATTCGATGTTCCTGGTTAAGCTGACACTAAGAAACGCTGCACCTTTTTCTGGTGTTACTGAGAGGGGAACATACATAGCATTACATATATACATACAAATACGTGCTATTTTAAATTTTTACATCATAAAATTAATCACCTCTTGTGACTGACCAGTTTCAAACAATCCCATGTAATGCTTTAAAAACAAATCTTCTCCCTTACTATCTGCATGTTCTGTTGAGAATGGTTAAAGATTCCTGTGAAATCCAACTCCATAAAAACACTAATCCAAGTAGGACTCAGCTAACCAGGCTGACTCTGTAGACATTCGGGAGCTACTACAATCAGTGCACAAAAGCTCTGATTTCGCCCCTGCACAGGTAGCAATAAACCCGTATTTGTTGTCGACGGACCTGCCATTACCCACAGTGAGATTGCTGGTGTACTGTATGTGGTAGGAGAAAACAAAAAGATTATTGGAGGGGTGCAGGTATCTGCTTGAGGAAGGACATCCTAATAGAAATTTGAAGTGCATAAAGTGGTTCACTCTCCTGTTTAGCAATATAACAGGATTTACTTCAGACTCTCTCTGAAGCAGTATTCTCACTTTAGAAAATGCAACATAAATCAGAATGCAATCGCAGAACAGTGTGTTCACCCCTGCTGTCAGGCATGGAGGGGAGCAAAATGTTCAGAAGGAAGCCAACATGGATAGACTGATTAGGGAGGGAGGGAGTGAGAGAAAAAGGGGTGGAGGGAGGGAAGGAGGAAGAGGAAGGGAGAGCTTGGTCTGAGAATATCTTTTGTAACCCTAGATCTTACAAACCTATCAGGTACATCATAGTGCCTCAATTTCTCAAGCTTCCTCTAAAGCCTCTGAAGCAGGGAAGATGATGATAGAGGAACCAAGAAAAGCCTGCTAGCTAACATCTGTGTTTCTAGGTATTCTGGGGATGTGCCAACTGTGGAAGGAAGAAGCCAAACAGACTGTCTATATTAGCCTAGCTTATTGTATAAGCTGTATAAACACCTGCATGTATGTTAGTGCTGCATCTAGCCTGCTGATGGAAACATATGAGTATAGCTGAGAGGAAGCCACTGGGAGAAGAGAACAGGAAGAAATGGTGCTGCTGAATACTGAAGAACCATCAGAGCAGCACAAGGGCTCTCGGATTTAGTGCAAACATGCCTGACTCTCTAGAGCACACACCACTCCCTCCCAAGGTTGTGCACACTCTTTTATTATCTGCAGTCATCACCTAATTGCCACTTTTCCTCACATGCGGGGATACTGATGCAAAATGGTGTGTGGGATATGTCTCCACTGTTTTTTTCTCCTCATGAGGAAGGATTTACAGGATAAATGGAAGGACAAGCTGAAATACCCTGGCTCCAAAGATGTACCGGCATGAGCTTTGCTATTCACTAACAGCAGAATGCAGACTATAGGAACTCAGAAACCTGATGACAGCTGGGCTACCATCATTTTATCATAGGATTTTGTATATACATATATATTTCACAGTATTTTGTGTACCTGTATACAGACACACATATATGTATACATACACATATATATGTAACTTGTATTTATATTACTACTATTTCCTAGGTGTGTGGAAAGTGGCTAACATGGGCTGCCTCCTCTCTCTTCTTACTATGGCACAGAATGGAGATTTTTAGACTGATGTAAAGATAGATATTGTGAATCCTGGAGTAGGTATTCTGCTGAAGCTGAAGTCTTCAGCTCATTTCATGAAGCCCTCTCTGTTTTATTTAGTGTGACCCCAAGTTTACCCTTGCAGTGACAGGGGGGTAACTTTCTTTTCCTAGACTAATGCATCAGCTTGACATGGTGGTTTTGCTGTCATTAAACAACACCTATGCCCTGACTAAGCGCCTAGCATTTCCCTCCTGTGCAAGCGTCTTTACCATCCTTCTACTGTGTTTTGTGCACACAGAGCCCAGCAATAAATACAAGAAAAGATTAGCATTAGGAAAACCCAGCAAAATACAGCCTCTGTGGTACTCCTTTCTGGCTCATACCCATTCTTCTGTATTGTTGCACCACCTGAAGCACTCCCAAATGTAGGGCAGAAATTCAGGAAAACTGTATAGCCCCTCACAGTCACTTTCCAAACTCCCTGTCTCTCTATTCATGTGACAGAGAGCACCTCCTCATGCCAACCCCAGAATAGTAGAGCTAGGTTTAATCAATTAACCTTTGTGAGGTGATATGCATTTGCTCGTTTGATGGCTCTGTGTGAGTGCAAAGCAAATTCGTGACTCATTCCAGGATACAATGAAGACTATCTACAGCTCCTTCCTCACTGCGAGAAGACCAGATGCACACCCTATCAAAGACATTTCCAAAGCTATTAATTCTTACACTGGTTCTTCAAAGGGGAAATTGCAGCTGGTGGGAAACTGCTGGGAGACAACTCTTTCAAAATCCTCCCTCTGCCTCCCCTACATCCAGATCCCAAGGGGAACCTGATGTCAGACTTGCAAAGCTGTCAGAAAGCACCCGATGCTCACCTTGGAGATAGATTCCTGACTGGATTTGGAGGACCCTGGGAAGAGTCCTGGGGTCCACAGAATTAATGAACTTCTCCAGAGTAGATGCCATGGTCCGCAGCAAGGCAGCATGTGGATTTGGCATGTAAAAACCAGTGAAGAGCTTTCGAGGCAGCAACACTTTCAGCCTGGTGCATGCTGCGCCCAGGAGAGCTGTGAGGCTCCGCAGTGGAGGGGAGGAGCAGCACAGAGAGGTACTTCTGCTTCCTCCACTTCATGGCCATTTCCTCCCATGGCTGCAGCTGGAGTGGGGTGAGGCTGGGGGATCCTAAGCCAGTGCCTCACCACGAGGATGGGGTACCTGTACCCACCAAAGAGCCACATCTGGCTAGGAGAAGTCCTGTGGGTACTTGTTTTGCAGCAGGCAGAGGGTTCTGCCACAGAACTCCATCTCATTGGTGACAGTTACTGACCTTGTGAAAAGAAGATACTATCGTCAGTCCTGCCTAAGGTGGGGAAACACCATCACATCTGGGTAGGTTTTGTTTGTTTATGTATTTAGAGCACACCAAAATAATTTGGTTATTTTTGTCTTCAAAACCACAAGCAGCATTTGAACAAAAGAAAGGAAACCGTTTTGTTCTAATGTTTTTGCTGTCTTAAACATTGTATCTGGATTTAAGACTCACAAGGAGAATCCAAATTACTTCATCAGGTAGAGGGACATTAAAACATAAGGTTGTTTTGCAAAAAGGACGAGATTTTTTAATGTCACCAGTGACTTGTGGAGATTTGAATTTGAGATGCTGCAACTAGAAATGAATTTTAAGAGGCTGCTGCCCAGTACCAAGTGAAAATCAGACTGCACTGAGGGCAAATCCCAAGCATTGGTCCCAACTCTGCTCCTCTGAGCCTGATCATGTGTTGTTATTGCAGCAGCACTCTTCTGAAGGTGAGATCACATAGTAAATAAGCAGCAGACTCAGATCATCAGGAAAACTGAAGTCACTGTGATTTCATGTTCCCTTACACTGTTCTCATGTCTCCCTGATGTGTCAGGGAAAGTATGATGTTGTGACAAAACGGTGAGTGAGATAACTAACTGCTTATTTTTAAAAAGCGGCATTTCACCTAGAATAGTCAGGATGAGAAAGAACCATAAGATCATCCAGTTCCAAATGCCTGCCATGGGCAGGGACACCTCACACTAAACCATCTCACCCGAGGCTCCATCCAAAATGGCCTTGAACACTACCAGGGGTGGACCATTCACAACTTCCTTGGGCAACTTTTTCAAGTGCCTCACAGAAAAGAACTTCCTCCTTTTATCTAACCTAAATTTCCCCTGTTTAAGTTTGAACCCATTACCCCTTGTCCTATCACTACAGTCCCTAATGAAGAGTCCATCCCCAGCATCCCTATATGCCCCCTTGAGTTACTTGAAGGCTGCTATGAGGTCTCCACGCAGCCTTCTCTTCTCCAGGATGAACAGCCCCAACTTTCTCAGCCTATCTTCATAAAGGAGGTGCTCCAGTCCCCTGATCATTCTTGTGGCCCTCCTCTGGACTTCAAGGCCAGGTTGGATGAGGCCTTGGGTGATATGGTTTAGAGCGAGGTGTCCCTGCCCATGGCAGGGGGGTTGGAAGTAGATGATTTTAAGGTCCTTTCCAACCCTAACTATTCTATGATTCTATGATTCTATGGACTTGTTCCAACAGCTCCCTGTCCTTTTAATGTTGAGGACACCAGAACTACACACAGTACTCCAAGTGAGTCTCACGACAGCAGAGCAAAGGGGCAGGAACACCTCCTTTGATCTGCTGGTCACGGTCCTTTTGATGCAGCCCAAGATACGGTTGGCTTTCTGGGCTGCAAGCGCACACTGAAGCCGGCTCATGTTAAGTTTCCCATTGAAACACACCCCCAAGTCCTTCTCAGCAGGGCTGCTCTGAATCTCTTCTCTGCCCAGCCTGTAGCTGTGTCTGGGATTGCTCTGACCCAGGTGTAGGACCTTGCACTTGGCATGGTTAAACTTCATGAGGTTGGCATCAGCCCACCTCACAAGCGTGTCAAGGTCCCTCTGGATGGCATTCCTTCCCTCCAGCGTATCAACCGAACCACACAGTTTGATGTCATCGGCAAACTTGCTGAGGGAGCACTCAATCCCACTGTCCATGGCACAGAGATGTTGAACAAGACCGGTCCCAACACTGATCCCTGAAGGACACCACTCATTACTGGTCTCCAGCTGGACATTGAGCCATTGAGCACAACTCTTTGCATGTGGCCATCCAGCCAGTTCTTTATCCACCAAGTGGTCCATTCATCAAATTGATGTCTCTCCAATTTAGAGACAAGGATGTCATGTGGGACAGTGTCGAACGCGTTACACAAGTCCAGGTAGATGACATCAACTGCTCTACCCCTGTCCCTCAGTTCAGTAGCCCCATCATAGAAGGCCACCAAATTGGTCAGGCAGGATTTCCCCTTAGTGAAGCCATGCTGGCTGTCACCAAGCACCTTGTTGATTTTCATGTGCCTTAGCATGCCTTCCAGGAGAATTCGTTCCAAGATTTTGCCAGGCACAGAGGTGAGACTGACTGGTCTGTAACTCCCCGAGTCATCCATTTTCCCCTTCTTGAAAATGAGGGTTATATTTCCCTTTTTCCAGTCATCAGGAACTTCACCTGACTGCCATGATTTTTAAGTATGATGGCCAGGGGCTTAGCAACTTCATTCGCCAGGTCCTCCAGGACCTGCGGATGGATTTCATCAGGTCCCATGGATCACATGGACCACATTCAGGTTCTTAGGATGACATCAAACCTGATTCTTCCTACAGTGGGCCTAAGATCTTCGTTCTCATAGTGCCTGTGTCTGCCTTCCAAGACCCTGTCCCAGCTCTGAACCATTCCCATGTGTTCCATCAATGGATCCCAGCAAGAAGAGAACTGCACCTCCCTCTCCATATAGAGAGAAATGAAGTCACCCCTCAGCCTCCTTTTCTCCAAACCAGACAAACTCAGCCTCCTCAGCCGCTCCTCACAGGACGTGCCTTCTAGCCCTGTCACCAGCTTTGCTGCCGTCCTCTGGACGCATTCAAGGACCTTCAGACTCTTCGTAAAAGGTAGTGCCTAGAACTGCACCCAGTACTCAAGGGGAGCCTGCACCAGTGCTGATTGCAGCAGGACAATCACTTTCTGTTACTAGCTCCCAGCTTCTCGGATTGATGCCCTCCTCCTTTTCTGTATGTGCTATGGTGGCCGCTTTTGGCCCCTGCACGGTCTGGGCCTGGAGCAAGCAGCCCAGCCCCCTCTCAGCTCCCCTGACACCTTTCAGCTACTGACAGCTCCCGCAGCTCAGCCCCTGCTGCAGGAGAGCCTCCACCAGGGCGCACCGAGTGCAGCCCTGCCCATTGTGCACCCTCGCCTCACGGGACCAGTGCAGGCACTTTCTGCACCCCGAGCTCTGCGCTGCAGCCTCCCCTCTCACCGGCTCTGTCTGGTGCCGACGCTGCCACCGCCGGGGCAGCCAGAGCAGAGCTCCCAGACCGGGCCCCGGGCCTGAAGCGAGCGCTCCCCACCCCGCTCCCGCCCTCCCTGGGGCGGATTTTCCCCGCTCAGGCCGGGGCCGTCCCTCCTGGCACCGCCCCGGAGCTGCCGGCTGCGGGGCAAGGCCTGACCAGGGCTCGAGGCTCGCTCGGTGGCTGTCGCCGCTCGGAACTGAGGCTCCTGGACGCGGGGTTTCCCCTCGCTGCGGGGTTGGAGGCTCCTCTCTGGAGCTGCTCACCTCGGCACCTCTGTGCCTGGCAAGGCCCTGGAGCGCATTCTCCTGGAAAGCATGCCGAGGCACACGGAAAACAACGCCGTGGTTGGTGACAGCCAGCACGGCTTCACTAAGGAGAAACCCTGCCTGACCAATTTGGTGGCCTTCTGTGATGGGGCTGTAGAGTACAGTTCTGCATGACAAGCTCTGACGTAGGTCTGAGGGGCTGTCTGCAGTGCAGGTCCCAAGGGGGGCCAGCCCCCCCGATAGAGCACTCGAGAAACAAGCCTATGGGAGAGCGACCAGGGGTCATTCTGCATTTCAAGGATCTGAACGAATGTGCTGGGGGGATTTGTTGCCAATCTCTCAGTCTCTGCCAAACTCTATACAGCACCCTTACGTGAGACTTACCTGAGGGTTTTAAAACTGTTCTACACAGCTGAGTCAGTTACTTGGTTTTTATGTGTGTTGCAGGGGAAAACTGCGCAGTCCACATGGTTTAAATTGAATTTGGATCAAATATTGATCTACCAGGAGCATGGAATTAGGCAGCAGTCAGTGAAGGGTTGCATTCAAGTAGTAATACAAGAGGTAACCCCCCAAACTAGACACATGAATGTTAATAAACACAAGCAAACACCTAACAAATAAACGCAGAAGAGATTTCTGAAATTCTTCTTGTTTCCAATAAGAAGACCTCGCCATAAGCAGCGCAGCAGCAAATGCCACTTGGTGTATTGGTAAGGAATGGTGAGGAAATCCTGTACGCTGGCTGTCTACATTTCTGCAAAGTTCATGCAGAGGGAACCAAACCCCCTTTCTTTCACCTCTGGGATCACCAGTCAAATGACTGTACGTGGTATAAAAGCCTTTACTGATACAGTCTGAAGATGAGATTAATTTACAGGGACACCCCGCAGCGATGCCCAGTCTGTGGCTGCCATGGGCAGGGAGATCCCCCCGGGCCTCCTGGGCACAAGCACTGCCTCCGGGCCAGCAGCCCAAAGGCCTTTCTCCAAGGCACACAGGGTGAAGGGGCAGCAGCAGCAGGGCTGCGGTGGGCAGGGCTGTGGGGGCCCCATCACCCCCGTGTCATAATGCCACCACCCACCAACGCAGCATCACAATGTGCTGGGGCAGTATAAGGCAGCGTCCTGCCCTGTCCCACTGACAGAGTGCCCGGCATTGCCACCAGGACACAGCTGGCAGCCTGAAGGCACCCAAGAGGAATTCCTTGAGGCACCAGTGGAATTACTTGGAGGGGCAGAGAAGGGAAGACTGTCCGAAGCTGCTGGAGGCTCTCTGCTGCAATTCCGGCTCGTGGAGAGGCCACACTCACAGCTTATCGGATGGATGGAAATCCTGCTTCAGTTTTCGGGGAGATAGCTGTTCTCATCTTTCGGGGAGATAGTGGGAGTGGCCATAAGAAATAAGATCCACTTATGGCCTGGTGCCCTCCCCCCGTGCTTTGGAGCTCCCACTGCCAGGCACAGGAAGGGTTCTTGTCCCTAGGGCTGATCAGGCCAGCGGCATTTTGCTGTTGTTGGAAGCCCCTGAGATGCCTCCAGGTGGAGGCAGAAAAGGCAGTGCCAGTGTCCCCTTGTCCCCTTAGAGGCATAACCAGCCCGTGGACCAGGAGCTGGTCTTGCTCACTTGCTCAGGAAGTAGCAGCGCTGGGGTCAGGAAGGAATTTTCCCCCTGGGCAGATTGGCAGTGATCCCTGGGGGTTTTTTGCCTTCCTCTGAGCACTGAGCATGACCACTTGGCAGGGCTCCTCTGGTCCTGGTGCTCTGCGTTACCTCCTGGTGCTCATGCTCCACGACAGTGGCCCTCGTGTCCTGCAGCTGGGGGAGGAAGGGCTTTTTACTCCCCAGGGTGGACCAGCAAGTGTCCATGGGGTTTTTTGCCTCCTCTGCAGCCGAGCACAGCCCCTTCATGAGGCTCCTTTGGGCTATTGTAGCGCAAAGGCAGCAGCTCATGCTCCACGCAGCTGGCCCTCGTGCCCCGCATCCGGGGGAGGCAGCCTTCTGCACTCCCAGGGTGGCCCCAGCGTGTCCCCAGGACTAGCTGCTGTCCTCTGTAGCATTCAGCACCAGCCCTTGTCAGGTCTTCCCCGGCCCATTCTGGCTGGGTTCTTGCACTGCTCTCGCACTACCACAGCACCACTCTGAAAGATTTAGAAAAAGAAAATATAACGCAAACTAAACTAGACTAAAATTAACTAGGCTAAGCTAACCTAAAATAACTATTTATAAATAAATAGAATACTCTTTCCACCTGTAACCTTACTGATTTGTGTCTTTGAAAGTGGTTTTGGTGATTAAAACCCCTCGGTATTTCAGGCAAATAATGGTATCATA